GTCATTTGGGCTTAACAAACCCCACGGATCCGAGCTCAATATACCTCGGACACTCATAGATTTACACATCCTACACACCGTACCCCACACATTCGTACACACATTCCTGCGAGCGATAACGTGATAAATTTTGGGGAATATAAGCGAAAACGGAATATAACTTAATTTTAAAGGAATAATATGAAAATCCACATACGCGTTAGGTGTACTTAGGAATAGGAAAGTTGAAGCTTATTCTTCATTTATGTCCTTTGATTAAAAAAAGATCGCGGTATCTACGACAACTGAAATGAACGAGCGGATGCTCTCGGTTTATCGATTCTGCAACACTCTCACGAGGCGCACGAGAGAAGTTTGAAAATTTCAAGAGGAATTGAAATGTGGTTAAAAGCATCGGCTCTTTTTTTAATGTTTTACAATTTCTTAAATTAATACATTAAATTAATTTCTTTTTTTTCTACATAATGATAGATGATAAGTTCTTTCAATATTATCAACTCTTTTCGATATATACATTTATTTTTGTAATATTTGTTTGCATCTCTTTTTAGCTTTAGAAAAAAATTATATTACACGAAAGGGGCAAAATATTATTAAGATAAATAGAAAGAATAATGGATGACATAGAAAAAAAACTGTAACTGTAAACTCATGTGATATGGGCCAAGATAAAGAATTGTAACGGTATGAGTGTTATATTTCAAAAATATTTTATTTTTATATTTTCTTTGACATTAACAAAGCGCATCTGCAATATTAACGTGTCGACATTTTCTTATCTAAATGAGAGAAAGATATATTTCTTTCTTTATAGCTATTATTTGGTTATTAGAATAACCATTGGAGATTAAAGTCTACAATACATGGTATTTTCTGTATACTCTTCTAACAAAACATAACAACTTTTATTCTATAATATATAATACAAAAGTTATTAATCTCTAAAAAAGAATTCGCATTTATCATCAAATTATACCTAAAACTCTTCTTTTTTTCAAATAAATAAAAAAGACAAATTATTCTTATATATTTACAAAAATTAAAAATCATTAATATTATTTACATTTTTTAACTTAGTTATTCTTTTATACAATTTATATTTTACATAACAATTTTTTTTACTTATTTATTAAATTATTTTTTTATTTTTTACTTATTATTTTAATTATTTATTATTTATTTTTTTACTAATTTATTTTTATTACGCTTTAACATTTTGAAGGAAGTTCACTCTTGTTTTTTTCCACACAAATCGAGTAACCTGGCATTTTTTGCGACTGCGTGATATTTTCTTCTACGTTTGATATTTCTTCGCTTCGACTCTTGACAATGTCCTCGTTAACATGGACCATCATGTCTGTAAGCAATATCTGCAAAAAGGAGAACGTCTGATTATTCAGCATTAAAAGTTCAATCGGCTGTCGATTGAGAAACGTCGTTATTGTCTCGAGAGCGAGCAGTGTTCTCCTACATTCTCCACATCGTCGCGTTTCAATAATCGTGATATGCGTGAGATATGATCTTAATCGAGACAATCGTCTTTAGCATTGCGCGTGAATGTCGCGATTTGTCCCGGGGCGCGATTTCGCTCAATGGCTCAAGATAGAATTTATCGTGCGAGATCACCTTTTGCGCGGCGATTTGTTGCGCGAGGTCGCGAAACAGGTCGAGATAAACAATTTCCCGCAACGTAACGAGGTGTACGCCGCGCAGATAGTGTGCCCGAAAATTGCTATACGTAAAATTGCATTTTTCCTGTTACGTCGAAAATCCACGCATCTCCATGTGGTCGAGACAAAGCGCGGCCGAAACTGCGCGAGGCGCGCGTAATTTTACGCGACGTAAGCAAGTTAATGAGCGAGGAGAATTCCGAGTGAAAATGCCTTCGCGCGAGGCGCGAGTATTACGAGACGAGAAGAATTTGCGTTCGGGATGTATCATAGGTACGTTGCGCGATTTATAAGTCTCACCTTTTTCCGGGGAGCGTAATTTGGCGCACCAGAGAGCCTCCGGGCTCACGTAAGACCGGCCATCGATGCCGCATACCGGTTGCCTGTGCTCTTCTTCCGGTACCGATCCGCAGGGATGGTCATCCGGTCCCGAACACGGTCCGTCATGCTTTAAAAACAGATCTACAAACGAGACATCCTTGTCTTTGTGCAACAATCGTGAATTCGTGAAAAATCGATAACGAAAAACAGAAAATGTAGCTCTTGAAGCAGAATAATTTTTTTTCTAAATTTTGATACGTGAAAATCGAAAAATTATATTTTTTAGTTTACGAAAAAATATATTTTTTATTATTTGGAACCAGAGGTGCTTTTTATTCTCAAATTTTTGGATGCCGAAAACGACGTTTTGTATTAAAATTCTTCTTAACATATTAAAAAATAAGATAAAAAAAATGCATGAATAATATATTTGTGACTTTCTGTCAAAATTTCAAGAAATCGTTAACTTTCTTTATAAAAAAATCTTCGCGAGAAAAGCGATTTTTTGAAATCATATGAAATTATTGAAAATCCGACATGGAAAAATTTGGCTTGCGGCCAATCGTTTTCTACATTCTAAAAATCTACGAGAAATACCTTGTCTAGTTCAAAATAAACTTTTCGTTGTAGGCTAATATCGTCAGTTCACAAATCAAAGTTTCTTATCGAAACTTAAACTTCGTCTGTATTTTCTAAACTTCTTTAATTCGATCGCTGTGAAATTAAATTTCGAGGAATTTATCAGTGATCTACTTGACAGTTGGACCGATGCACTAGGATGCATTTTACTGTAGGATGCTTTTTACATCAGCTCTTTCTCTTTCTACATCTCTTTTGCGACGTGAGACTCACATTTATCGTGACGAGTGTGGCATTGCAAGTGATGTATACTCTGATACGTGCGACCGTCGTTCCCGCAAACCTCGTCGTCTGCGGTGAAGGCGTCGTTCGCGTATTCACCGTTCGGTAAAACCGTGGTATTTGTGTGCGCCTCTATGCAGGATTCGTGGCTGTGCGTGTCGCACTCCCCATTGGAAATTACATTCAGATCTGAATTTAAAAAGTAAAGAGGCATACGCTCGCATACATTCTAAATTAATAAATTCTAAATATCATAAATTCTAAATTAAAAAGTAAGCTACGCTCGCACACTTTCTGAATTAAAAAGTGAGCCGCATTTTCAAACTGTCGGATGAAGAAACACACCGATGGAGAGATGTACGGTGTGTATAAATAAATTACTTTTTGAATAAAATATTTTTATATACTTTGACGGATAAGCGAAACTTTCTTTTAAAATGAGCAACGTCTTCGTAGTGTATCTTTCATATTAAATATTTGCCGATAAACTGTTTGCTTCAAGACAAAATTTGTTTTGGACGAAGTGGAAAGAAACTTTTGTC